CATTAGAAAGCATAGCCTACATGAAGTCATATTATAGTAACTCATTGCCTATCAAATAAGTAATAAAAATTCGCCATAATTCATCAAATATCCGTGGCTTCCAGGAGGGCTTCGCCCCCTGGACCCCCACCGGAGGCCCTAGGCGGCCCCCAGTCAAGTGAGACTCGATTCCCTGGACCCCCACCGGGGGCCCTAGGCGGCCCCCTGGCCCCAGCCAAGTGAGACTCGATTCGCTCCACTAGCCGCCCCCCCCCCGTCGAGGCCTTTAGCTCCTCCGTCGGGCAGGTCCTGGCACCATCCCTGCCTCAGCCCCTACCATGGTGGGGCTGAGGTCGTCTACACTCTCCATCTGTAAAGATCCCTCTCTGGGCCCAGCTCTATTTCAAATTACTGGATCCGCCACTGGATATCTTAAAAATTTCGTATGGAAACAAATGTTAATTGCATTGCTTAAAATTTATTAAGAGGCTATAGGCGCCAGAGCTTCTCGGGGACATCGCCCCCTGGTACCCAACCAAGACTTTATTTTTCATTTCGTTCCCCCCCCCCACCCCACTTTCAACCACGGATCGACGCCCTTGATTGTTTATTCCATCGCGATAATAAAAATTACCATTCAATAATAGCAGTAAGTATAGGCCTAGAGCATTTTTTGCAAGTGTTTTCACACGCATGGAATATTTAGTACATTTTTACGGCAGTTTGGGCAAAATTGCACATAAAAGCCCCCTAACGCAAATCCAGGTACACAATAGTTGAACCAACTTCAAAATACCACAAATACAAATGTGTGTGACGATATTTTATTGCTTTAGAAATGTGATTTAAAAAAAGTAGTGCATCGTATACGTAAGGGCTTGTTTTGTTGTTGATTTTTAACTTACAGCGTTTGGGAAATAGGTAATAGGTAAATTGTAATGAATATAATCAATACATTTACCATTCAATAATAGAACAGTCATCGACCTACTTGCAGTGAATTGAATCTAAAATGTATTCATGATGGTATGATGATCTGAAGTGTTTAAAAAACGTACACAATAGTTCAACCAACTTTAATACCACAAACACAAATGTGCGTGACGATATTTTATTGCTTAGCTTTAGAAATGTGATTTCAAAAAAGTAGTGCACCGTATACGTAAGGGCTTGTTTTTTTGTTGTTTTTTTACTTGCAGTGTTTGGGAAATAGGTAATAGCTAAATTGTAATGAATATAATCAATAATATATAGCATATAAAACCTATTATTATTGGAGGGTCCTTTTAAAGTTTAAATAGGATTTTTTTTAAAGTTATATTTTAGATCATTAGACCTATTGAACGAGCCCCCAATAGCCCCGGGCCCCAGTGCTGTGCACTGACTGCACTGTCCATACCTACGCCACTGGACCTAAGTATTATTGGTGGTTACATAACGTTTGCTATGCACTGTATCATGCGCTATAGAAGTGGAAAACCATTGTATTGGAAATATGTATACCTCTCTCTCTCTCTCTCTCTCCCTCTCTCTCTCTCTCTCTCTCTCTCTCTCTGGTAGGGCCTACAGTACAATCAGTTTAAAAGCGTAAGGTATACGATTTAAACATTTTCCTAATGTTAATGTTCAAAATAAGTGTCAAGGAAAGTAAGTATGATTGTTGGAAAAAATGGTCAACATTTTATTTTGAATTCTCACCCTGACCTTCGCCTGGGCGCAGTAGGCGAAGGTCTGGATCCGCGTATAGTTAGCATGAATTTTGTAAGCCAGGACCCATAGTATTTTGTTACGTTTCTTCACAGAAGGGAGTTCGTCCGAACCCCCTGAACCCTCCTCCCCCACCTGGATCCGCCACTGATTATAGCTCTGGAGTTGGAACATGACCGAAGTCTGTTTTGGTATACCAAATATGTTGCTTTTTTTTTAATTGTTTACCTTGTTTCACTGCATCTATGCATTTTCGAGTTTTTGTTGTTGTTTTTGTTGTTGTATGAAATTGTTTGTTTTATTCTGGTCTGTGTGGATTAAAAAAAAAAGGATTAATTGATTGAGTAGGGAGGGATATATTTGTGTATGTGTACACAAATGTTGTTTTTTTTATATACAGTATTATTGTACTGTTTTATTATTTTAATTTTAAGTTCACGTCCCTATTTCTCAGTTTCATTTTGATTATTTTTAAGTTTGTGTCAATTATGTTTTATTTGTATATATTGTACTGTAATTATGTGATTCATTGTATTGTATTTAAGTTGAACGCACCACCCTTGAGTGCCGCCGATCTAAAGGCGATGCTCACAAAGTAAATAAATAAATAAATAAATCTTTTTAGCTGGGATCAAGCCTAGGCCTGCCATTCCAAAAACCAAATGGCTACAGTACTGTTTTTTTCCTAAGATCGTCCCGACTTACACTGCGTAGTAAGTTGTGCCACACACGAAACCCGGGGCACACACACAAAATAAAAACAAATTGTTAGGCTAAAAAACCAACAACAGAAAACGCCGAATAAGGTCTAAAAACACAGGTTCATGATCATTAGGATGGATGTGCCCTGTGCTGAGTTACAGTATTATGAGTGTCCAAAAATTGAAGGCCATTTTATTCTACGTTTCGCTTCTATTTACGCCTCATCAGGAAAATTACATAATACAAAGAGCTTCACGAATATTTTTTATGCTCCAGAACAGGTGTGAGCATTTTCCACTCATATATCGAAATCCAATAAAATGATGACGATCATGATGATGATAATGATGATAGGCCAAATAATTATGTTATAGATAAGTAGGGCTAAATGTTTATTGCAAAATAGGCCTATTCCCGGGACATAGTGCCTAAATCGCCGATCTTGGTGGTTAAGACGCTAAACTTTCAAACAACTTATGAACTCGATAGGTCTACACTTATAATAACCAGATTGAAACTTGTTCCGAAATTTTAAAATTATGATAATGATAACGCTGAATATAAGACATTTGATTGCATGCCAAAAACCCTAATTATAGGGGTACACATTCGATTAGGATCCCCAGAAGATCCCTATAACATGGATCACGGGACAAGGGACATTTTTTGGTCAGAGATACTGATAAAATTGGTATTGTAACGGCGGGCACATGTACATTTCTAAATATTCTATGGAAATGATTAATTAATTTATATTCTTGACAGCAATTTGACCTCTGAAAAGTCATTGTTTGTCAAAAAACAAGAGCCTAAGACGACCGAAAAGCGGAGTGTCCTTCTTTCGTTCTGCTGGGTAAAATCAATTACTTTAGGCGACGTTTGTAGACTAACGTCCGCATGTCGCGCTAGCCTTATCGTACTCTACGCCTAGACTAGGATGGTATAGGCCTAGCCTTGAAGGGACGAAGGTCCCAATGAAAAACATCGTCGCTCCTTGATTAGCATTGTCTATTTAACATCACAATAATTCATTATTAGCTATATAGTTCAATCAATCAATCAATCAATCAATTTATTTGGAAATTGCACCTTTGCATCGGTGGCACACACAAAATGTGGTGCATCCATAAGAAAAACACAGCACGTCTTAAACTAATCTTACAGGCATTAAAGTGTCTCTTATACACATCTAGATATACACATATAACAGTACATATATATATATATATATACACATATACATATATATATACACACATATGCACACACATACATACACACACATATACAAAAGACACACACACATGCACACACACATACATATAAATACACACACACATACCATACACAAACACATCTACACCCATATACATATGCACACAAATCACATAAAATGTCAATTAATACTTAGAAATTACAATTTCTTAAAAAAAAACGTTAACAATTATAGCGGTTAGAAACTAATGGAAATTATGCGAACATTTTACAGTGTTTTAAACAGACCTACCTAAACAGACATGAGAATAGGCCTACAAACAAAGTATAGATAAAAATCAATTATATATACCAAGCATATACAGTAAGGGTATCGGTAGTACTAGATTGGCATCGTCTTTTTAACATTTAACATTATTTTTGTACGTAAAACCCATGCTTGTTTAATATATTCCATTTGTACTCCACAAATCTCAGTCGATACCTCGCACAACTCGAGTAACGTCTCGTATCTATTGCCGTGACGTCATGAATCGCGGGCTCACACTTGCGATGTCTCGCACTTGTGATCAAGTAACACGCTGGCTCGCACTTTGGCAACACTCTTTGGCAGTCAACTCGCCCCTAGAAAACCCGCCCTTGGAAACTTGCCCCATAAAAAAATGTACACTTCCTAGACCATGCAGTCTTCAAAATAAAAAATTGTAACCTTTGGTAATCAACTACATTTTCCACATAGGCCTACATAGAAATTTTTGAAACTTTATTAAAAAAACCTAAGCCATAATTCACCATTATAGACACTTTTGCCAAAAATGAAAAATTACGACTTTGTTACCCAATGAGAAGTGTTCTAATATAGACAATGGGTCGTGTCTCATATTATTTGTTATATTTTTATTATTCATTATTTTCATTTGACTCGCATAAATAATTTTGTTTGAAGAACATTTATATGCAGTTGTACTTCGCAGCACTTCACTTGCAATTTGCAATTTCTAGTATAATTATGTCATAATTTTGTTTCACATGATTAACGCCCAGTGGTGGATTTAGAGGGTTCGTAAGGGGCGTACTCACCCTCTATTTGTTTTGTAAAAAATTGTTTTGTAAAGCTTATCTGAAAATTACCATGATGCTAAATATTAAATATCAATCAAACAACTCAAATTAATGAAGGTGCTAGAGGTTTAAGGGAGAATCTTCCCTTGCACCCCTACCAAGGGCTCTTTCCTGAGACTCTCACTTAGTTCGGACATTCAGGCCCACCCCCCTATTTTACCGGGTTGAATCCGGGGCCTGATGCCATCCTATAATTTTAATTGCAATGTCAAGCTACCTCTATATTTTATCCTCCATGGTCTGTGTAACAGCGTCTAAAATAGAGGGCGGTTAGCAACTTATAAAAACACAGGAACAAGAACAAACACGTGTGTATATATAAGGAGACAAGTCGTAGTGTATGAAAAGACCTACTATTTTTTTATTTTTAAGTGTATAGTAAAATACTGCATTGTGAGAAATATACGTATAATGCAACGGACTGATGATGGTTTCATTACCCAAGAAACAACGCTTACTTAGTGAATCATGTCTTGAATCATTCTTAAGCTGGTGTGAGAAGAACGAGTTCAGAATGAACCGCAAAGTCGAGGTGAGGGCGAAGGGGTCTGTTGCCGAATACGGGATGATTGCTATCGATGGCCTAGCTCCAGGCGAGGAACTGTTTAGAATACCAAGAAGCGTTATAATCTGCCCTCAAACATCAGCAGTATCAAAAACATTAGAACAAAATCAAGACAAGCTGAAAAGTGATAGTGGCTGGGTACCGTTGTTAATCACGCTGATGTATGAATATACGAATATGGACTCTGTATGGCGATCGTACTTAGATCTATGCATTGATCATCACACATTTAACCTACCCATGTTCTGGTCACCTGATGAACTGAAGAAATTACGAGGAACTGGTATCCCTGAAGCAGTTACCCGTGATCTTAAGAATATTGAAAAGGAATATTCAGCCATTGTACTTCCATTTATGACAGAATATCCAAACTTATTTAGTGAGAAGTATCATACGTTGGACATTTACAAAAAGATGGTAGCTTTTGTGATGTCCTATAGTTTCACAGAGCCATCGAACGATGTCGATGATGATAGTGTCTCACCACCACCAATAATGGTTCCGATGGCAGACATGCTAAACCATGTGTCTATGAACAATGCGTGCTTAAAATTTGGCAAAGAGAGCCTCCAAATGGTGACAACACAAGCGATCCCTGCAGGAGAGGAGGTTTACAACACATACGGTGAACTTTCAAACTGGCACCTACTCCACATGTATGGCTTTGCTGAAAAACCGTTGGACAATCTCTTTGACGTTGTCGAGTTTACTTCCACTGAACTATTTGAACAGGCAAGGTTGATGAAGGATCTTAAAATAGAGCTGTTAGATGATAAGGTGGCACTTCTTGGGAAAGAAGATACATTTGTTGTAGGAGATGAGGGTGTGTTAACAGAAGATGAACTTTATTCAACCCTCAAGGTTTTATTTATGTCAGTAGATGAATTTATGGTTCATAAGGAAAATGAAGGATGGACATCTGATGATGACGATGGCAATGATATAAATCTTACTTTTGATCACCTGAAAGATCTCCCTCTGCCCTGGACAAACCTTTTGGCATCTGTTGCCAGACAGAGTCTGAAAAGATACTATAGAGAAGATGAAGAGAGTGTTGACAGGAAAAATAGTAATATTTTGTGTGCCGCTCTCTATGCTGATTACGTAAAAGATGGTCAAATAAAAATACTGCAAAAAATGCTGGATTTTCTTAATGTAATCCATTAAATGTTGAGCTAATAACTAATAAACAACTTTGTATACATGTGGGTAGGGGCCTTGTGACAATCAAAGCACAAAGCAGAGGTGGGTGGGGGTGTTTGTTTTTTGTTTACTTGTTTTTGAACATAGACACTGGTATGTGGAATTTCAATCGATTATTAGCTTGTTTTTGGGTACCATGCTTGGGGCGGATGCAGCATTTAGGGGTAGGAGGTGTGTGCAAGGGTGCAGATCTATTTAGAAAGGTGGGGGAAATTTCGTGGAAATAGTACCTGTAGATGTCCGGAAATGACACTTTTATATAGTTACCTGGAGGTGAGTGTGGTGGACGATCATCAGTTTAAGAGTCGTTAGTCAGCTTTGGAATGTGATTGATGACAATAAAAACAGTGGCGTAGCCAAGTGTGTGGGTCCGTGATATTATGTGGGGAGTACAAGTGTTCTGATCGAAGCGAGGAACCAAATGCTGGGGGCCAGGGGGCTGCAAAGGGCCCGGTCAGGGTCCAGAAGAAACTGGAAGAACTTCACAATATCTTATGTGACCTCAGCCCATTTGCTCTCAAATAAAAATGTATAAATTACAGTAAGTGAAATTTCTATGGAATTAAAGAATCAAAATGAACATCATATTGTTTTACAGCAGTTTATTCATTATACAGAACATTTTAAATTATGATGAAACTATTGTATTTTGTATCTTAATACAAATTACTGTTGAATCTTAGAGACATGAATAACCGGGAGCGGGATTGTACTTTAGCTAATGTGTTGCAACAAGAAAAGTGTGTAGAGAATACTGTGAGTTTGTATAAATGCCTGTGATTATGTGTGGGGGCAGACGAAGGAGGCTAAAAACTCCCCTTCCCCCCTACAGAAATATCCTGGCTACACCACTGAATAAAAAAAAGCCTTCATAAGGTTTCATATAGGCCTACATATTTTTTCCCCTTTTTTTTTTCTTTTTTTTTCGAAAAATAAAAGCAGGGGCGGATCCAGAAATCCTTAGTTTTCTAGATGCCCGAAAATAACCTCTGAGGCGTTTTGAGCGATCAATTTTTTATTTTTCTTCTTTCTTTTATCTTTTTCCCTTTTTTTTGTTTTTGTACTTTCCAAAAGGGGGACCGGGGCCGCCCGCCCCCTACCCCCCCCCTAGATGCGCCCCTGACAAGTAACATAAACATTAATTATACCATCTGTAACATTTAGTAACTATTGTATTTTGTATCTTAATACGAATTACTGTTCAATCTTAGAGACATGAATAACCGGGAGCGGGATTGTACTTTAGCTAATGTGTTGCAACAAGAAAAGTGTGTAGAGAATACTGTGAGTTTGTATAAATGCCTGTGATTATGGGTGGGGGCAGACGAAGGAGGCCAAAAACTCCCCCTCCCCCCTAAAGAAATATTCTGGCTACACCACTAAATAAAAAAAAAGGCTTCATAAGGTTTCATATAGGCCTACATATTTTTTTTTCTTTTTTTTTTTTGAAAAATACAAGCAGGGGCGGATCCAGAAATCCTTAGTTTTCTAGATGCCCGAAAATAACCTCTGAGGCGTTTTGAGCGATCAATTTTTTATTTTTCTTCTTTCTTTTATTTTTTTCCCCCCTTTTTTTTGTTTTTGTACTTTCTAAAAGGGGGACCGGGGCCGCCCGCCCCTACCCCCCTAAATGCGCCCTTGACAAGTAACATGAACATTAGTTATACCATCTGTAACATTTAGTAACTATTTCCGCATTGTACGCACGATGTCCTTTTTATGGGCACTGTTCTTGGTACACCAAGTTTTTATTAACCATGTAAAATCAAGTGCAAACACTATTGACGAAACACAGTGAACACAACAAAAGAGACAAAACTTGGCGGCACATAAAGTCGTTGTATATAGGCCTATATTCCATTTATGGCCTATTTTATAGTTTGCTTATCTCTCCAAGGTGTTTTCCCGTTAATTTGTTAGTGCACCTGACCCAGTGTTTGCATTTTTGTCTACTTCGTTTAAAATGTCGGCGAATGATTATAACGTTTATAAATTTCAAATATTAAAAAAAAAACTATATTGTATATTTAAGAACCAGGGGTACATGTCATAATATGGGCAATACATGTGTGCGCGAGGTTTTGGTCCTTAAGCGTGAGACCGTGAGAGAGATATTGATCTGTGGATTTGCTCGCAGGGGTGGGAGAGGAGGTGGGGTCCAAAATTTTTAAAAAATGGGTGTGGTCGAGCGTCGCTCACCAAAATCCCTCGAAAGTGTTCCAAAGAAATATGCCAATTAAGGGGTTTTAAAGGCTTATTTATCTACTAATATGTAGACATATAGGCCCTTCAATGTTTTCTTCTCGACGAATTGTGGGTTTCTCTCCCCGATAGGTGTTGGGGGGGGGATCCCCGCCCCCATCTGCTGGCGTTTCCCCTGATATTGATGAATATGTGTTTTTATAATCGTACTTTTGCAGTTGTCTATTATTTTCATGATAGTTATATTCTTATGTTCTTGTGTGACTAAATTGATTGTTCTGATTTTCTTCTTATGTTTTCTTATAATCATGTTAATTTATTGATAATTATAAATATTGTTCTTTTCTATGTATTTATTCTTATTTTTTATGTTTTCTATATCATTGTTTTATAATAATCATGTTAATTTATTGATAATTATAAATATTGTTCTTTTCTATGTTTTTATTCTTATTTTTTTATGTTTTCTATATCATTGTTTTATTGTTTTACTAATGTTTTTCATATGAATGAATTATAGATTTTTTGTTTTTTAGTGCTTTTTATAATGATTTTCATATATTCATACTTATAAATATTGCTCTTTTTTATGTTTTTAATCGTATTTGTGAGTTTCCTACTGTATTCTCTTGATAGTTTCATTTTTTTTACTGTCACTCTTATACTATTACCATTACTACTACTTATAGGCCTACTCCTTGCTACTACTACTACTACTACTACTACTACTACTACTACTACTACTACTACTACTACTACTACTACTACTACTACTACTACTACTATTATTATTATTATTATTATTTATAATAATAATAATAATAATAATAATAATAATACTGTAATAATAATAGTTATTATTATTATTATTATTATTATTATTATTATTATTATCATTATTATTATTATTATTATTATTATTATTATTATTATTATTATTATTATTTAATATTATTGTTATTATCTGGCTGGTTATGTACTACCACCAACGTCAAACATTTGCCTAAATTTATTCATTCATAAAAAAAAGAAAAACAGAAACATGTGTGTGGTAGAATACAAGCATTATTAATTTATCATTCACATGCAAAATACGGTAAATCGATACTTTGTGCGCAAGTGCCATGCATGGCCAAGGATTTCATCTACCAAGCTGGGCTAAGATTCTTAGTTGTTTATTTCGTGGCCAGAGAATGATTTCCACGGTACAAAAGACATATGAGGTAGGCCTAGGTTCAGCGAAATTATTAAAATAATGAGTATTGGCTAACGGCGATCGATCATGGCATTTGCGGTCCATGTGAGCGTGTCGCTTCTAACTAGGCCTAGCCTAGGCCTCGCTATGTGTGACGCATGGCATGAAAATGGCTTAGGCATATCAATCATGTACAGTATGTAGGCATGGGCCTAAACTAAGGTAAACGTGCTACACAGAGTGTTACGAGAACTGAGTGGCAGGGTTTTTCAAACGAACGGTGGTGGGGAAGGGGTATTCGGGAGAGGGTGAGGTCGTAGCTATGTAAGTTATTGAATGTTTAAAACTCTTATGGCACAAGGCACATTTTAATTACGGTATGGCCTGGATGGTATTATAATACTGTATCTCTAAAGCCTAGTGTTGAAGTGCGCCCTCTCTAATCATGACAAAAACGAGACCCATTAAATACAGTACTGTGATATAATAATACAGTATTAATAAATCATAATGCAAGGTTCGTTAATATTTGACCAATTGTTTGTTGAAAATACTAAGTACACAAACAAAACTATTTTTAATAAAGCTAATCAATTTTTAGTTTCAATGTCGGGCCGATGTTTAATTTGGGCACCAAAACTCAGTCTTTTTAGGGAGTGTTTGTTGAAAATACTAGGTACACAAACAAAAATATTTTTAATAAAGAAATTAATTTTTAGTTTGAATGTCGGGCCGATGTTTAATTTGGGCACCAAATCTCAGTCTGTAATATTTCGTTACTCAAATATGAATAGCATCTGATCAATTTTTATTGACTCATCAGTTATAATAAGTACTCACCTAAATACTGTATGTTTTTATATTTTTAATAAAACCAATTTCTTCTAATTATAAATGCATTTTCCCCCAGAATTTGTGAATTCGTTATCAACACATAGACTTGTGCATTAAATGCATGACAAATTTATAAATTTATAACTTTTCTGCAAAATGCGTGCTTCAGCCAAAATCACTTTGAAATGCGGGACGGTCCAGCACAATGTGAGAGGATTGGTAACTATGCAAATTAAGGAAAATAATAAAATACAAAAAAATTATTTTTCACTGATTTAAAGACACTTAACACAAAAAATCATTGAATTGACTGGCCATCCCAAAACGTTTTGATACAAAAGAATATAAATTTATTACAATAGGCCTTATGCAATAAAAAATTAGGATTTTTGTTTGTTCTTATAAATTTTGGTTGAATGCTGTTAATTAAATTGTTAGCAATCAACATTGATGTATTTTTTCTTTTTTTTTCCTGGACTGTATAACATTAATGTTAAAAGTTTTATTTTATGCCCATCCAATATTTAGGTTCAGCTAGCATTTCTTTTTGCATTCCAGGGCATCCAGATTCTGTATAAATAATATATTTTGATTTTTATTGTAAATATTTATTTACATATTTATACCTTCAGGATGCTGTGTCAGCTTTGAATACATTGCAGACAAATGCTCAAGTTCTTGATAAAATACGTCAAAGAAAACAGCCGGGATGTCCTTCAAACAATCTCCCTACTGTTGTCAATTTTCTGAACAGAGCAGATATGACTGTAAGTTGAATAGTAATCTTAAGCTAGCCTCCATCCATACTATCAGTATCACAAGTTTATTTTTATGTAAATATTTGTGATATACTCATAATTCAGCTGACTATGTCCCACAACCTATATGATTAATTCACATTTGTCACAAAAAACATCTGTATATCAGTCTTTCTACTGTTGTCAGTATTTTTCAGAGAGCAAACATGTACAGTAACAGTTCAGTAACTTGAATGGCAACTGAAAAATACTGATGAATAAGACTGTCCACACTTTAGTATACTTTTTTTTGTGACAAATTTTGTAATTATAATCCCAGTGGCATAACAACAAATCACAGGGCCTGGGAAGTGAAAGTGTTGGGGGTTCCAGGGGGTGGGGCATGTACATGAAAATAGTTATGTAAATGCATTTTAGTTTAGATTTGTTTTAAATTATATAAAATATATATTTTATCATGAATTACAATATTTGTATATAGTTATTGCTGCATGCCCAAAATAATGTATCTCAGTTTCGTGTTTTGTTGACACATCATTTATCTTGTAATGAAATTATTTACAGGTTGATGAACTAGACAGTCTGAATATCATACATGTAAGCGGAACTAAAGGCAAAGGCTCAGTGTGTGCTCTTTGCGAGAGTGTGCTGCGTGCATGTGGTTTCAAAACCGGCTTTTACAGGTTAGTACAGTATGAAGACAAATTTTTATAGAGCGTGCAAGTACTGTACACTTATTGTTCATGTGTCTTAAGAATTAGATTCAATTATGTAGATCAATCCCTGGTTAGGGACGAGGGCATATACTGTACTGCAGTTTGGGTGCTAGCTTGGCTTGGTACTTACATCTTTATTTATTTTTTTTATTCTTTCACATTTCCAAATATCTCTACACTTGTGTTCACAGCACATAGAGAATTTCTGTATTTTGAGCCATAGATTTTAAACCACTAACCATTAACTCTTTGAGAACATGTTGTCTATGCACCATTTACACTCCATTTGGCATGTGCACAGAAGCATTAGTCAAAGCAAATTCTCCCTATTTACTTATTTTTTATACTGTTTACAAGGCCAAGAATATGGCAAACAGCGAACTTAATCACTTTTCTAAGCAGAAAATCCCTTCTCAAGGTGCTGTACATAAACTAAGTCTCCTTATGAGGCTTAGGAAGTAAAGGTGTTTTGGCTGTGTGAAAAAAAATCTTGTTACAGGAATTGAACCCAAAACTCTGGTATTGGAAGGCAAGCATCTTTGCCATCAGTCAGTCCACTTCCACTTGCATTACGCCAGAATATTTGAGAACTTAAACAGGATATTTGCTTTCAAATTAGAATTTTAATTATCATATCAAATGAAAAGTCTGTCTTGGTCAGTATAACTGTGAAAATTAAGGGTTGTAACAATTCCTGAAAGATGAAATTGTAAATTGATGATGTCATAAACAGTAAATAGTTGACCTTTTATAGAATAAAGTGATTTTTATGATCTAGTGTTGCTTACAAATTAATTTTAATGGGAAGAAAGTAAAACTCTATCTACACAATCATGTGACAAATTTATGAATGGCCCATATACAGGCATGATGCTGTCTTAACACATCCATATATGGGCATAATGATGTCATATACTCATATATGAGCATGACATGTACTTGTCACGTACAATTTGGTAATGTTAACAATAGAGCTTTATATCAGAGATTTGTATGGATGCATTATTGTATGCATGTCAACACTTAAAGGGCAAATGCTGTCTTTGTCACCTTTACTAATAAATGACATTTGTAAATAATGTTATATAAATGTATCTCTTTTTTAGTTCGCCGCATTTAGTTGAAGTCCGAGAGAGAATAAGAATAAATGGTCAGCCAACTTCCAAGCAATCATTTGCTGATAATTTATTTACTGTCTACAATCGTCTGATAGCTACCAAAGATCAATTCGGTGGTGAGATGCCTGCCTACTTTCGGTTTCTGACGATAATGGCATTTCAGATATTCTTACAAGAAAAGGTACATGTTATTTGAGAGCCAATTCAAGGTTTTACCATACCCTAAACCCTGGGATTGGAGAAAGAATATCTTAACAAAATATATCTCCATCCTTACTGTATTTTAGTGGAGAAGGCTCTTTTTTAAAAAAAATATATAGTAGTGTAAAATTCATGTTTTTGTTGTTAAGCAAAAAAAAAAAATTACATACAAATGTTAATTCTTTGATAAAAATTCATTCCATATACCTCTGATTATCATAGCTGAAGTCATGAACTAAAGTCTGGTTTACTGTAATATTTGAAGGGTTGTCTGATTTGTTTGATATGTATTGAAACAAAGCCATGATATACAGTATGTGATATTGGACAATTACTTGGTCTTACCCCATGTTTGAACCTGTCACTAAATTGCCAAAAATTACAAATTATTAAAAAAATCCCATACCACTGAACTTACACTTTGTATAAAATACAGCCATCTGTCATTTTAATTACTGTAGTTATTCAAGTACTGTAAATGCTCCGGGGCATTTAATTGTTGAGTAGGATTTTTGAGGGGGCGTTAAATTTTTTAGTGTAAATACTCAAATACAGTAGATGCCCCTTAATTTCACTGTAATTGAGGAACTACAACACATTACCGTTTATACTATATATTAGTTTTTTTTTTCTCTTTTTTATAACATTAGTTAGAATAGATACCGTGCATCATTATGGCACCTGTCACCTGTGAATTATGTTCCGGCCAACCTTTGTTTGACAATGGTCTTAAATTGCGGGAGAACGGTGCGATGATGTGCGGTTCTTCTGCTATAGTCCATTCATTTTGGTTCCTTTCCTTAGTTGGTTAGCATTGAATCTTTAGTTGGAATTTCTTTTTTTCTTATTTTATTTTAGCGCATTGAGACTTCAGTGTAATGCGCTATAGTAAATCCCACTACATTACATAGATGTGTATAAGAGACAGCCTCTGATTCTCATAGCTGAAGTCATGAACTAAAGTCTGGTTTACTGTAATATTTGAAGGGTTGTCTGATTTGTTTTATATGTATTGAAACAAAGCCATGATATACAGTATGTGATATTGGACAATTCCTTGGTCTTACCCCATGTTTGAACCTGTCACTAAATTGCCAAAAATTACCAATTATTAAAAAAATCCCATACCACTGAACTTACACTTTGTATAAAATACAGCCATATCTCATTTTAATTACTGTAGTTATTCAAGTACTGTAAAAGCCCTGGGGCATTTAATTGTTGAGTAGGATTTTTGAGGGGGCGTTAAATTTTTTAGTGTAAATACTCAAATACAGTAGATGCCCCTTAATTTCACTGTAATTGAGGAACTACAACACATTACCGTTTATACTATATATTAGTTTTTTTTTCTCTTTTTTATAACATTAGTTAGAATAGATACCGTGCATCATTATGGCACCTGTGAATTATGTTCCAGCCAACCATTGTTTGACAATGGTCTTAAATTGCGGGAGAACGGTGTGATGATGTGCGGGTCTTCTGTTATAGTCCATTCATTTTGGTTCATTTCCTTAGTTGGTTAGCATTGAATCTTTAGTTGGAATTTCTTTTTTTTTATATTTTATTTTAGCGCATTGAGACTTCAGTGTAATGCGCTATAGTAAATCCCACTACATTACATTATTATAAGAAAGTATAATACATCTCCAAGTATTGAAATACACGCCATCGTGTTGGGATTCAATATTTCGACATTAATTATGTCATCATGAGATGATGACATAATTAATGTCGAAATATTGAATCCCAACACGATGGCGTGTATTTCAATACTTGGAGTATGTATTATACTTTCTTATCTGAGATTAATCAGTGGACCTTTCGGTTGTACATTATTATGTGGTTATAAAAAGATTATTGATACCAGCCTGGTAATAGAAAAATATGTAATTCTACTGGAGTAGAACGTTAATAGAATGTGTTGAGAATGATGTTGCTTCCATTATATTAATTTTGTTGGGACATTTATCCTGAAGGTGGTGTTTATTGGAATAAATATGGTATTTTTTTACAGGTTGATGTTGCTATTATAGAAGTTGGATTGGGTGGGGCGTATGATTGCACTAACATAATTAAGTAAGTAGTTGTCATTCTACAGTAATACTATTTAATATTATGTCCTACAGCATCATATTAATGCCTCTTGTACTGTGTTTTCATATATTTATTGTACCGCTATAACCGTGGATCAAATAACTAAAAAAAAAAAAAAAAGTTCATAATACAATATAAATTTTATATATGAACCGTAACTGACAGAATGGAACACTGACAGAAAACAGCTCAAAAGCTTTTTTGGCATTGTTCCATTTTTTTATGAATAGAAAGTATTATGGTATTAAAGCTGATTTCTTGGTCATGTATAGTTAATAGTAATTATGATAGTAATACTGTATAATATGCATCAACCAGGTCATTGAATCAAACACATTGGACCATTACACTAAGCCTCACCCCATAGATAATTGTTGCTAAGGTCTCATAAAATTACAGAGTAAATGTTCGTAAACTTGTGTGTTTGTGGGACTTTGTTTTCTTAGCCTGCTGTGATTGGTCAGCTTTTTAATTTGATTGGCACTCGTTCAATTTCCATTTATTGAACACATGCTGCATCAGCTCCCTGGTAATTCTATGATGTGAAAGTTTTAATTAGGCACATTGGTTTTCAAACCAAATAATAATAATAATATTTATTTGGAAATCGCTTTTAAAACAGTGGCACTTATCACTGTGATGGTGCATTCATACACAAGAAATAATAAAAAATCAATAAAAATCAATCAATAAAATCAATCAATCAACAAAATCAATCAATAAAGAAAAGAAAAAAAAATGAAAGAAAACATGGATAAAGTGTCTTGCCCAAGGAAAGAAATGAGTTTTTGGCTTCAGCTTTAGATCAATTCAAACCCCTGACCTTTTGATTAGAAGCCTAGGCTTTACCACTGTACTACCTCCTTTCATTCTACGTATTACTGCTTCCGTTTCAGTCTCATATATTGGAAGAATTTACCACTATCCATTTTATGAATTTACATTTACTCACAAGAAGTTGTGCATTGCAGTTTCAAAACACAATGTAGAGTATGCTACAAAAACATAGATTATTGTTCTTTTGTTTCTATTGTTTTTATTATTTATTTGTGTAGAAATCCAGTTGCAGTCGGTATTACAAGCCTTGGTTTAGATCATATCCGTGTCTTAGGAGACACCATAGACAAAATTGCCTGGCAGAAGGCAGGCATATGTAAGGTAGGTTGAGAATGCATTAAAGAAATGATTATGATTTTTAAAAATAATTATAATTATTGTATATAATAATGATGATAATTCTGTGCAGTATATGTCTTTATTGTCATTTATATTGCACCAGAAAACATTTCATGTATGTTAATTATAACTCTATGACAAACAAAATGAACTTTGAACCTTGGACGGTTTTGAAGATTGATGATTCAATAATATACAATAACATGAATGTTGTTGATAACTTTAATTTTATGTGTTAATGAATACAATGCTAATATTTGAATATTCATAATATAGCAAACTTGTACATTGGTATTTGACAGATCAAGCATACTGAAAGGTTTTATCACTGTTGACCATAACATATATCTAATTTTTACGTAGCCAAATCGTCCGGCATTCACAGTCCCACAACCTCAAGATGGAATGAAAACAATTTATGAACGAGCAAAAGAGCTTAAGGTTTGGTCTGATTTTTATCAATAATTTGATTCTGTAATGTTGTGCTATTCTGTTCTTCTCTCAGAACGCAGATGCAAAATTCTAGCACCTGATATTGCACCTACAGAAGTGGTTGAGGCTTGGACCCTCAACCTTGTGATCGGGGCCTCAAAACTCTCGTTGTGCAAGTTGCTTGTGTCCTTGAGCAAGAAACTTTATCTGCGTTTGTCTCTCTCTATCAGGATTATAAATGAGTACCTACATATGTTAGGAATTTAAACAGACTCACTGTTAGGAGTAGTGGAAATCCCCTCAAAGCATTGCAGAATCTGGCCCCAACGCTTACGAAAGAAGGATGGGCACTCCGGACCTGTACCGGTTCCACAAACTTTACTTTTATTGCACCTCAAATCCCACAGAAATAACTGTCCAAGTCAAAACAGACTAGAAAATTTCCAAATAAAGCAGTAGTAAAAACCTTAAAATCACAAAACAAGAAACACAGAACAAAGGTCGAAACTGAAAGAAAAGTCACAAGGAAACAAACACTTCTAAAAAAATCATTTCTTCTTCCTACTTAACTAGTATCCATCTGGTTTTATTTCAAACCCCCTACATTGTTTTTTACCATTTCCTGCTTCAAACTATTTTTAATCCTTTTGCCACCTTAGGAATGTAGATCACAGACAATGTAACTTGCTGTATATATTTGCTTGCATATGTCTTCAAAGACCATAATGTATTTTTATATGTAAAATTGTTTTGTAGACTTCTGTTCATTGCACTCCCAACATTGATGAATATGACTTCCAAGGTAGACCTCTGAAGTTAGGATTAGCCGGTGACCATCAACGCATCAATGCGTCACTAGCGTTGCAATTATGCAAAACATGGTTAGAGGAAACGCACCCAGACTTCATCAGTTTCGAAGGTAACAAATGTTTTACCATTTAAGAGCTAACCATCCGTATGCTTTGATTCACCCTCCTACTTACATCTAATCTTCCATTTGCTTTGATCACTTGCCCTCCCCATTTTAGATACCATCAACATTATTATCCTCAATACCAGAGTCAATGGCTGTAACAAAGGTGTATGGGGGCCTAGCTAAGAATTTTACGGCCCACTATCCTGGAGACAGGGTCCGAGTAGAGAGGCAAATCCCTGCTTCAGCTTTTTTTACATTTTAAGGGTGTACGGTAAAACGTTGATTTTACGAATCTCGATTTTACAAATGGTCGATTTTAAGAATGGTCTTTGTCCCTGATGACGTCATCATTAAACAATCACGAAATGCATGTAAACACGCAATTCGGCGATCTAACAACTAGAATAACACAATAGAAAGGTCCATAAAGCATACAGATGTTTGAATAAGAGTTAAAAAAATTATTTTGTTAAGTGGATGAATGCCAGCGATTAAAATAATTTGGTTTTTATCGAAGGTAAATTCAGCTAGGCTCTAGCGCGGTAGACCCACGCTGCTGTCAGTTCATGCTAGGCCTGGCTGCCGCCAGCCTATCGGCGCTCAATGGCAGGGGATTAGCTATTGGAAACTGACACCCGATCTAGTATACACATTTTTCAATTTACCAACACCTCTTGGTACCAAGGGGTACATAAAAAGGACTTCTTACTGTATTTTTATGTTTTTTCCATGTTCTTCCCCTTTAGAAGTCTATGGTTGGCCGCTTTGGAGCGAAATAAAAAATGCTGATGAATATTCCGGTGCCCACTTCTGGCTTTAGCCAGTGATAGCTCATACTGGAGCTGTTAAGCCACTGCACTATTTTAAAAATTTTATTTCATTTAGTTTGAAGCTGTTATGCCACTGCACTAACATAAACAGCATAAATATTATCATCCTTTTTGACTTTTCTTTAATTATTAATATTCAGTTTTATATATTATTTATAATTAATTCATTTTGTAAATTAGAATATGATTGATTTTCATTTTTTTTCTTTATTCCTCATATGTATATATTATTAATATTTTTTGTTTTATTATTTCATTGGGCTGCTTAATTTAAATTAATTTATATTACTTTTATTTTTGTAGTTTCATACTCTATGTTGTCTTGATTTTACTGTATGTATTGAAGGTCCCCTAATGATCAGCTTCGGCTGGATGGACTAAAATCATTAAAGGTTGTTGCAATAAACAAAAATAAATTTAAAAAAAAAATCCTTATTCCCATTTTTTTAAAGTCCCATTTTTATTATAAAAATTGTCAGCATTGTCATCGCCATGATCATTAACAATTGGCGTTATCATCATTAGCATTAAAAAGAATAGCCATGTAACAAGGGGATCCACCGATAAGTTTGACAGTATGAGACAAACTCAAAAAGAATATGGTGAATGCAAGCTATGATGTTTACTCTGTACTTCAAATATCAACTCAACTCAAACTCTATAGCATTTTTGTTGTAGTGTGCACCTTTGAATGTTAAACGTCTCTTGTAACTCTTTTTACAGATGTGGACTGGGAACCTAAATCTAAGAGAGCTCTTATACAATGTGAAGGTGAAGGGGACACAGCCAGTGCATGTGGCATGCCCGTTATATCGCCATTTGTTGTTCCCCTTGTTTTCATGCAAGGTAAAGAATACAGGAATATGTGTCATGTCAGGAATGTGTCATGTTAAAAAATAATTATGTTGGTTTCAGCGTTCAATTTACCCAGTATCACATTGCAAAATGTGATGCGTTTTACACTAATTGCGAAGCACTTCCACAAATGCATCACAAAAATTATTTGCCTAGAATTAACCACTCAGTGTCATTTCTTTTATTTAATAATCATTCGTTATCAAAAAAATGCTATGCACAATTCTGGAATTGCTACACACAAAAAGTGCATAGCTGTTTTTACTACGCACAAAAGATGCTGGAAATCAAACACTGGTTGGGTTAAAAAACTTTATTCTTCATGCACTTGTATATGAAATTAATTATTTTGTTCTTTCTGATCAAATTGTTGTATTGCCTATTCCTGTAGGATTACAGGACTGCTATTGGGCTGGCCGTACCCAGACATTTAAGCGAGAAAACGTAACATACTACCTCGATGGTGCGCACACACCACGGAGCATACAAGCATGTATTAAATGGTTTACAGAAGTTGCCGAAGAGGAGTCAAAGACGATAGATGGTCCTGTTGCTAAGGCACTTGTGTTCAATTCAACTGGAGATCGAAAAGACAGTGCATTGATTTCACCATTGATGGTAACTTTGATCAAAATTCATGTTTTTACCTATTATGAGAAGTGACCTTGGAATCCTTTTGTTATTTTAATTAGAAACATTTGATTATTTTTATAATATTGTAGTAGTATGATAACAATTTTACATTAAAATAGTTAATAGTTAATGTTGTTTATTATTTATTACTGTATATTTATTTTATTTGATATTGTATTAATTGGGTATTTATTTTACATGTATTTTACTATTTTGTTAAGAGTTATTGTTATTTATAATTATTTATTATTTTGTATCAGGCTTGTGTGTTTGATGGTGTTGCATTTTGTCCCAACATTGTTACTGAAGACACATCAGGGAATTCAGCAGGTAACCACATATTTTCATACATTGTAATTATTTTTATGGTTAAATTTTTTGTCAGTCTTTATGCTTGTAAGTATAGGTTAATAACTTGTGCCCTATTTAAGTTTCACTTTCCAAGGTTGACATAACTTTTAAAAAACAGGATACTGTGTAAGTTTCAAGTTAAAATAAGTTTCTAGTGAAATAACTAAAGTTAAAGTGATAATTGGGAACAAATATTCTTCTCTTCTAGATCAAACAAATTATAACACCACATTGAGTAAGCAACTCAACAGATGTCAGGGGAACAATGCTATTTATGAGTTGCTGTCAAAAACTTCACATGTACATCAAAACGATGTTAGCTCTGAAAGCAATGGTATGCCAAATTCAGGAGGTGTTACAGAAATAAATGGAACTAATATTAATTCAGTAGATTTAATTAATAATGAGAAAGCCATTGATGTTACAAGTAATGGTTCTTCCAAAGTCACTCAACCGAAAGAGCAGGCAAGTGCGAAGAAAGTCGTAAAAAAGAATGCTGTGTTTGGATGCATCTCTAAAGCGCTGCAATGGTTGGCTGGTTTAAAAGACAGCAAGTTAGGGGGCCCATTACAAAGTGGTCCATCTACCCCAGTTCCCTTACAAAATGCGGTTCACATTCAGATTCTTGTCACTGGCAGTCTACATCTCATTGGAGGCACGGTTAAGTTATTGGATCCAAAATTGGCAACAATGCAAGGAGGTGATACTGAAATTAAGAATGGAAAAACAGAAGTTCAAAGGAATTGAACCTGGTCTGGGTGATTACTAGTCTCTTCAAACCAAAACCGACGGCACCAAACCAACTGCACCCAAACACTTTGATAAATAATTAATCAACAATAATTCCAGAACTAATGATAATTAATTATTAGTCAAATGAATTTGATGCAGAAGTGTATCTGGGAAGTACATGAGGAATGCACATCATCCCGAAAAAGCTCAGTTCCCCATTGAAAATGTCTGAAGCAAAAAAAATCACCTTATTTTTCAACCGTAATCATCCCCACTCCACATTAGCACCCCAATCAGCCTCGCACATATCAAGACTATTAAAACACCACTGATTTTATGATAAACATAACAGTATAGGTAGTTGTTTTAATATATTACTTTTCCAGAGTAGTGTGAAAAGTTGTACAGTACTTCATTATGTCATACAGTACTGCTATGTCACCTACTAGGGGTAATGTTTTGATTGGTTAAAAGTATGTATTATACTTTCTTATCTGAGATTAATCAGTGGACCTTTCGGTACTTCATTATGTTCAATAAATACAGTACATTGAAACATGAAAGTACCTTTTATTCTCAAAAATTAATTCTCTTATATACAGTGATAAGTAAAGTTACCAAAAAGAATTAAACAATAAAGTTCAACCTGAATAAAGTAATGATTTGATGATAAACTCAACAGCATCTATTAAAAAAAAATATATAGCAACTCAGGTATTTTAACATTGATACATGATATAAATTCAAAATTTATTATTTTTTTATTAACAAATACATATATTTATTTTGTCTTAAATTTTCATACCTTATTATATTTTTCATTGTAAGTAATTTGCTTCTCTTAAAACAATAACTTGATTTTGTATAGGTTTAGTGTCTACTAGCCCAATATTTATTCAACTAGATATACGGAAATAATGTTAATTAAAAAATACATTACTGTGGATCAAGTTGGTTTTGGAACCAGTTGTCTTTTGGGTTGTTGGTTTTAGTACAAGTTGGTTTGAGTCCTAGGTGCTGAACACTGCCCATAATTATACAAGAGCAGAGGCAGATGGTTGGCCCTTTGAGACAGGACACTGTTGGTTACCACATCCATCATTCTTTGTTGTAAATTTATGCGACACCAGTTAGCTGATGTAAGACAAATAGACAGTCCTTGCAGTATGCACTGCAGTATATTAATCAGTGGCATATCTAGAAGTCTTGAAATGGGGGGTGTTCGAAGGTGGGTGGGGAGCCTCGATGGTCAGTTAAGGGGTGCTAATAAGGGGATTTTTAACTACTTGACCATAATTTTTGGGGAATGACTGGGAGAAAGCAAGTAATTTTTGGAGGGGCGTGCACGCACCCCCCCAGATATGCCACTGATATTAATGGCAAATTACTATTATTGTTAATTTAAGCAGTAATTGTAACTTGAAAATGGAATTGCCAGCAAGATGATCTATGTTAATATTTTACATTTAGTTGCATTTTTTTTTTGTAGTTTCTGTAATTTATTCATTGTGGGGAGTGATTTGAACAGCGGTTATGGTCCAGGATCTCAACCTTTAAGAGCAGAGCTTTGATCCTGTGCGTGTGAATTATTTGCACCTCCTCCCCAACCATAGTGGAGCTGAGGTGGTGTAGACTCTTGTGAACCCACTGCCAAATCCTGCATCCGCCCCAGCAATATGATTACTACTAGCAGTAAATGGATGAGGTTCTCCCACGGGAGGTGAGCATGCAGAATTTGATCCAATAATGTGAAGCACAAACAGACTTTGTTGGATTTCTGCCCCTCACTTTTTGAAAGAAAAGTTTGCTATTAAAAAGGTGTAAAATTCTTGCACTATGAACAAATGGATCTTTCTAATAATAATAATAATAATAGTTAGATTTGTAGAGCACATCATGCGAAAAAGCCTCTATGCGCTTGGTGATTGAGCTCTTTGAGTTCATTTTGAGAAAAAAGAAAGTTTTTGAGTTCATTTTGAGAAAAAAGAAAATTTAAAGGGCAGTAAGCCTGCCCTTTAAATATTGTTAAAGGTCCCACAAAACAATAGCGTAAATGTACATAAACATTGCATTTGTGGGGCAAGTGTGCTGGACACGTGCATATTCCTGGTCTAGTACTGCTCTGATTGGTCAGTAAAGGTTGACACTCCAGAAAGGTCTATTGTAAATTTGTCATGCTTTTATATTGAGGCATTCCAAAACCACTCTCAAAACTTAACTCTATCAGTCACCTTTTTCCACAAAATAGGTGAATTAAAGTAACATATAAATGAATGCAAGTGCAAAGTAATTGCACTATAATTTCTAATAGTAAAAGCATTTCTTGGGTGTACATCAATGATATTATTCCAGTACTTTATTATTATTTATATACTGTAGTATAAATGGTTTTTTAAAAGACATTTTTTTTTCTATTTGTGAACACTTATTTTTGTAATTAATAATGTCGGTATACTGTAATGATGTCATTACAGAGCATTTATACTCTTTAATTTTCAAATGATTTTAAGAATTTAATGAAATTAGAAATTACTGTATGCAGGTAGCACTGATAGGAAAGAAAAAAATCTGTGTCTGTCCTTATTGAATTCGTATTCATAAAGATTTTTATTTTCCACTTGAATTTTATTAATAAAGCACTTTTTAAAAAAACAGATGTATTGTATATGTGGTAACATTTATTATAGTTGTATAATGAATATCAACTATTTTCTTGAAACTCAGTGTTTCTCAAAATGCTTCCATTTTTTAGCTTCTTTTCATACTAGTAGTATAACATTACTTTTTCAGAGTATTGTGTAAAGTTGTGCAGTACTTTATTATAGTCAATAAATAGACCAAATCATGAAAATAATCAAGTCAACAGTCACCAAACAAAATTAAACAAGCTACCTGAAGAATAAAGTAATGATATGCATGTTAAATACCGTTCTTCCTCCATTCATTATTTGCATGGACCAGGGAGGTATTATAAAAATAACTTTATGTGATCACTCTTTTGCTGAAAGGTTTTAAGAGTCCAAGAAAAATAATTTACACAATCAAATACCGGGAATTGAACAAGACAAAAATATAGGCCTACGTGTATATATAAAGCAATAACACCACATTATCAAAAGTTTACAATAAAACACAGAATGCAATTGAATTCTATTCTCAAGCAGGTTAAAGGGTGATTGCAAGGGGTAGCAGCTGGCCAGGTTTCCCCAATTGTTTTCCAGAATTTATACAAAAAATTGGAGAATTGCATTTTTTATCTGGAAGTGCCATGGTGACTGGTGGAACAGAGGTCTGGACTCTCCATAGATCAATATAAAAAAAAAAAAGTGACACCACCTCCCCCTATTTCGAATTCCTGGATCAACGACTGCCTTTTTTTTAACTATAGGGTAGATTATACCACAAGTAGCCACCATTTCTCATTTACATACAATCGGGCATAGAATTCCATCAATTCTTCTAACGGCCTTGACCTCGCTCTCCATGGGTGATAACTACAACTAGGCCTACTACAGGTAATGTATGGACTGTTGCAACATGATGGTACAGAAAACCCCATCATAGTATACCAACAGATCCAAGTTAATCTATGCTGTGTAGTTCGATGGAAACTACTTGGCGACCTCAGCAGGTCCTAGCGTGCACCGAAATGCGACTAGGTTTGTTGGGGCCAGATTTCGTTTTTGAAACAACACAGCAATGTACCCCCTCGCATGAAGTACCAACCAAACAGGAATGCCTTTTTACACTATTAAAAAGAACCTCATTTGGCACCAACAGAAAGGCAACATGAAAACTGTTGGTTTGCCGAAAGCGTGCCAAACGAGTCTCTAGGGTTAGGGTTACACATGCGAACCGCTGCACTCCACACGAACCGCTGAATGATGTGCGCTGCGAAGTTATTTCCGGTGCCTTGTTTTATACAGTTGTACTCGTGCATATTCATGATTAAAGCTGGTTTTTCCACTTATTCGCGCGAATCATTAGCGTGCCGGCCATATTTCCGGAGGTCATGTTACTTTAAGAATCATAACTCCTAATTAACGGAGGGTCGTATTGACATATTTTTTTTCTTTAAAATGTTCGCAAAGGATATATCAAATACTGTATAATAGTAACAAAAAAAATTAAAATTTGTTTAGTCTGTCAAAACTTAATTGAAATAATAGCAACACGCACTATACAAAATCGGTCTTCTATTTTCCAGTTAAGTTTTGACAGACTAAACAAATTTTCAATTTTTTTTTATTCATACGGTACGTAGATATATCCTTTGCGAACATTTTAAAGAAAAAAAATAAGTTGACACGCCCTCCCGTTAAGGATATATGATTTTTTGAGTAACACGACCTCCGAAAATATGGCCGAAACGCTATGTTATTTTTGTTGGTTACGCTTCGCTGCTCAGCATTGTTTGTCATCGATCGAAGATGTCCACCGCAGCGTGAAAAAGTCTGCCTGAAAAATAATGGGATATACTATTAAAAAATAGAATAGAATTATTTCAATTAATGAATGCTTTCTGTGTATGTAATTTAAAAGTTTGCAATTGATACTGTAGTATAGTAGGTCTGTGAACCATGTTTGAACGAATACTCCCTGTAAAACCTTAACACCGGACAAAGTGTTTGTCCGGTGCGCGTGCATGTCTGCTACATGACTGTTTATGGTTTCCCTACAACTGAACATCAATAAATTCTAAAAACAATAGTTTTATTACCTGTTATTATTTTTGTTATTGGTGTTATTATTGTAATTATTATTTTGTCGAAATAAACATTTTAATTTGTTTTTGATTTTCGTAAGCGCACACTGTTGCTGGATTCCTTCGATGTGTACCTCCTCCTGAACCTACGGACCCAACCTACGGCCTACGTAATGGTGGCGAAGATGAACTGCAAGTTGCGTTTCGCTGTTCTGTTGAGCTGTTTGATTCTGTTTACAGTTGTGCATTCCGATACAGAAACGGTACGCTATAATATTAAAAAACAAATAGGCCTATGTCTGCCTAGTTAGACTAATGCCTGTGTCAGGCATTGGCTAAGCTAGGCCGCTAGGCCTAGTCTAACTAGCTAGGCCTAACTAGAGAGGGCCGCCCTAGCCTAGGGCCTCTAGAGAGTTGAGGTCGACCTAGCCCTAGCGTAGGGGGCGCCGCGAACAAGTTAGGGCAATAATTAGGCCTAGAATTTCGTCCACGCAGATTTTGTTGAAAGTTAATTAAACTTTGTTTCACTTAATTATTAATAAGAGTACGTTTTGTATAAATATTTAATATAAAAATAAAAATAACGCTAAAAAATGATCGACGTTTCGACTCCTGCATGGTAGGTATGTGAAGAAAAAATTCAAAGTGAACCAATACCAATTCAATTAGTACCACTGGAAAGAGCTTGAAAAATTATTTAGATATCTTAATTAATAAGGAAATTACAAGCATTTGAAATCGTGAATTAGCGTCATTTTTATTACTGTACATGTAATTGATAAGAATTTTGTGACCGAAAACGTAACTTTTTTTCATGGTTTTCAGCTCGCATTTACGCCAATAGCCTCTGACACGACCTTGACCGGGTCGGTCAATTTCTTTTCTGAGCCATAAAATACGATGAAACTTTGGGATTTTAAAGACAAAATAATAAAAAATATGTAGACTTTTTTTTTTTTGCTGGTCATCATATATCATTTATTTCGCCAAAATAACAGGAGCCACTTAAAGAGTCTATATGGCAGGATTGCTAATTGAATGCTTGCCATCGAGAGGCTCTGCGACTATCGACAAGGGTTGAAGAACTGCTAATAAAAATAGTAAATTATTAAATACTGTATATAATATGAAATTGGATATAAAGTAGTGAAATCATTAAAAAAAAATCTATAGTTACATGAAATTCAACTGCTAAAAAAGGCTCTGTGCAGCAGTAGTTACGGATCTTCGTCCCTATTTTCCTAGCGATTGTCGCGCAAATTTCAGCTGGATTTTGAGGTATAACCCATCCATGCATTTAAATATTTTACAGCATGGAAGGAAGCCTAAAGGTAGACTACCTAAAACAAACTTGCCTAGCAGTTAGGCCGTTCCCTCATAGGGCTAGGCCTTGACCTAATTATATATAGTACAGTAGAACCTCGATTTTACGTACGGTATGGGACCGGAGGGCGTACGTAAATCGGGGATTCGTAAAATAGAGGTTGGGTTAAATTTGGTAACCTTTGACCTAATACGTACATAACGCTCAATATACGTCTGTATGAAAGAACTGTGTTGCCTAGCTAGGCTAGACCTAGCCTCTAGGCCTACGAATAAAACCATGTGTTTAGTGTTTTTATTCATCACTTTAATAATAATAATTTGGATTTGTAAAGCGCAAAATACATAGGTCTCTATGCGCTAGAAATTTGCAAATTAGATGTCATAATAAAGTGTTCAAATAAAACCATGTGTCTAGTGTATTAATTCATCACTTTATAT